AAATAATCATTATACCTCATCTCAGAGATATAGAGGCCGAAAGGTTGTGAATATGTCAGTCACGATGAGGATAACAGTCCGAATAATGTAAATAATGCAAATAATCATTATACCGCATCTCAGAGATATAGAGGCCGAAAGGTTGTGAATATGTCAGTCACGATGAGGATAACAGTCCGAATAATGTAAATAATGCAAATAATCATTATACCTCATCTCAGAGATATAGAGGCCGAAAGGTTGTGAATATGTCAGTCACGATGAGGATAACAGTCCGAATAATGTAAATAATGCAAGTTTTTTCATCTCAGAGATATAGAGGCCGAAAGGTTGTGAATATGTCAGTCACGATGAGGATAACAGTCCGAATAATGTAAATAATGCAAATAATCATTATACCTCATCTCAGAGATATAGAGGCCGAAAGGTTGTGAATATGTCAGTCACGATGAGGATAACAGTCCGAATAATGTAAATAATGCAAGTTTTTCTCATCTCAGAGATATAGAGGCCGAAAGGTTGTGAATATGTCAGTCACGATGAGGATAACAGTCCGAATAATGTAAATAATGCAAGTTTTTCTCATCTCAGAGATATAGAGGCCGAAAGGTTGTGAATATGTCAGTCACGATGAGGATAACAGTCCGAATAATATAAATAATGCAATAATCATTATACCTCATCTCAGAGATATAGAGGCCGAAAGGTTGTGAATATGTCAGTCACGATGAGGATAACAGTCCGAATAATGTAAATAATGCAATAATCATTATACCTCATCTCAGAGATATAGAGGCCGAAAGGTTGTGAATATGTCAGTCACGATGAGGATAACAGTCCGAATAATGTAAATAATGCAAATAATCATTATACCTCATCTCAGAGATATAGAGGCCGAAAGGTTGTGAATATGTCAGTCACGATGAGGATAACAGTCCGAATAATGTAAATAATGCAAATAATCATTATACCTCATCTCAGAGATATAGAGGCCGAAAGGTTGTGAATATGTCAGTCACGATGAGGATAACAGTCCGAATAATGTAAATAATGCAAATAATCATTATACCGCATCTCAGAGATATAGAGGCCGAAAGGTTGTGAATATGTCAGTCACGATGAGGATAACAGTCCGAATAATGTAAATAATGCAAATAATCATTATACCTCATCTCAGAGATATAGAGGCCGAAAGGTTGTGAATATGTCAGTCACGATGAGGATAACAGTCCGAATAATGTAAATAATGCAAATAATCATTATACCTCATCTCAGAGATATAGAGGCCGAAAGGTTGTGAATATGTCAGTCACGATGAGGATAACAGTCCGAATAATGTAAATAATGCAAGTTTTTCTCATCTCAGAGATATAGAGGCCGAAAGGTTGTGAATATGTCAGTCACGATGAGGATAACAGTCCGAATAATGTAAATAATGCAAATAATCATTATACCTCATCTCAGAGATATAGAGGCCGAAAGGTTGTGAATATGTCAGTCACGATGAGGATAACAGTCCGAATAATGTAAATAATGCAAATAATCATTATACCTCATCTCAGAGATATAGAGGCCGAAAGGTTGTGAATATGTCAGTCACGATGAGGATAACAGTCCGAATAATGTAAATAATGCAAATAATCATTATACCTCATCTCAGATATATAGAGGCCGAAAGGTTGTGAATATGTCAGTCACGATGAGGATAACAGTCCGAATAATGTAAATAATGCAAATAATCATTATACCTCATCTCAGAGATATAGAGGCCGAAAGGTTGTGAATATGTCAGTCACGATGGGGATAACAGTCCGAATAATGTAAATAATGCAAATAATCATTATACCTCATCTCAGAGATATAGAGGCCGAAAGGTTGTGAATATGTCAGTCACGATGAGGATAACAGTCCGAATAATGTAAATAATGCAAATAATCATTATATCTCATCTCAGAGATATAGAGGCCGAAAGGTTGTGAATATGTCAGTCACGATGAGGATAACAGTCCGAATAATGTAAATAATGCAAATAATCATTATACCTCATCTCAGAGATATAGAGGCCGAAAGGTTGTGAATATGTCAGTCACGATGTGGATAACAGTCCGAATAATGTAAATAATACAAGTAATCGTTATATCTCATCTCAGTGGATATAGACAAATACTAAAATTTACGTGTATGATGTCATTTTTCTTTTTACAAAGTTAGTTATCGAGATACGTGGATGCAGTTTAAAATTATTGAGAATTAAATGGCACAAAAGTTTCATCTTTATTTTAATAATAGTAAATATTTACATGAAAAAAAATGAGCATCTTTCATTTTAATGAGTAATATTGCATCACTTCTCGGCTATATTCCGGAGATACATTGATAGAAGATTTTTTCAGAATATCTTTTAAATGTTCGTCATTCAAAGAAGAACGTTGCTGGCTCTTATTTACGTTATTAAGAGAGTTCAGTTCAAAAAATGCTGAACATGTTCATCACAAGTTGGATATTTTTTCCTGTCCAGAATTCTGTTAAAATCTTGCAGCCTGCTTTTCTCTATGATTTGTTTTGTAAATCCTCCTCGGCCTTTTGAACTGAAGTAAAGGTGTTGTAACCTAGGGAAGGTTACTGAATAGAATAATCACGGGAAGGTTGGTAATGAATGATAATACTTAGTACAAGAACAACACATATAAGATTCGCCAGCGGCGCGTAGAAGTAGTCAACTGCTAGAATTGAGTCAAATGAATTCTACAATGAATCTCCAACTGCAGAATATCTACCAAGTCAGATGTGTCACAAGGTCGAATTTAATGTGGTGTATCCGAGCACGTTAGCTCGGCCAAAAATTCCCTGTAGACCCTGTATAAAACGGGGTCGGGTAGCTGTTTCTCGAGACGAGACTCTGCCCTTCGACATAGCCTCGTCTGGGGATCCTCTCTGTCCAGAGGCAGAGAGTTTGACCAGAACAGCTGGAGACGAATCTCCATCTGCAGGATATCTAGCAACCGCCCCGCGCGATCAGATGTGGCACAAGGTACGAATTTAATGTGGGGTATCCGAGCCCGTATGCTCGGCCAAAAATTCCCCGCAAACCCCGTATAAAACAGGCTCGGGTAGCAGTTTCCCGAGACGAGACTCTGTCCTTCGACATAGCCTCGTCTGAGGATCCTCTCTGCCCGGAGGCAGAAACTTTGACCAGCATAGTTGGAGACGGATCCCCAACTGCAGACCAACATACAGTATTTACAACTGTATTTATGTGAATGGGGATATACACATTATCCTCTGTAGGTATGCTACAGCAAAAGGTTTCCTGTTTAGGATTGGGCTTCCGATTCTTTCTAAATTTTTCTAATTCTCTTTCGCTCTCATTAGCGCCTTGCTTCTTAGTGGTGAATTATTTCTTAGTGAGTGAACTGACTCCTTTTTTTTAAAATAGAGGAAGATTGAAGTTCTGTCACCTTCAATTGGAATTCTGTAGGCACTATTTCCAGATTGATAGGTAAAAGTTATCCACAACCAGTTTCGACAGCATGTCTTTTTTTAAAAATAATTTTACTGTCAAATTATGGGAAAGGAATTGTAACTTGTTCGGTATATTTTGTTCCTAACTCAACAATTTTTCCTTTTGAAAATTTACTGAGCACAAGTTGGAAAGTGAAACATTTCACCTTTCGCCGGCAGACTTCTAAGAAATTTCAATATCATTTTGAAAGCATTACTCCCGTTAATAACTGGAAAATTAGAAAATTTCCCCTGAAGCTGAATCTTATGATCATTAATATCGAAGAAACTTACCTGTTGCTGATTATTCTGTGCGCCAAAATTCGCCTGAAGGCTCGTCTTCTTCATTTATGGATTGGGGAAGACCCAATTTTGGATTCTTCCATTTTGATGGAGGTGGGGTGCCCGGGAACGAATTTGATTAGAGGAAAGTATATTTGCGGTTTTTTTATGCTTCCAAAATCTCTTTTAAAGCCATTTGCATTCTGCGATCGTCCCCACTTTCTTTAGTTTAATTCCCCATCCTCTTCCCAGTTAAGTGACCAAAAATGTCAGTTCTCTGGTGGATATCGTTTTTCGAGTGTGTTTTTTCGTATTTGTTGTCCCGTCAGAATGAGTGTGTAGTTGTGTGTGTGGTTGGTCGAATGATTCGTTTTTAATTCATCCAAGTCCCGCATTAATTTCGTTCAATTAACTGATATTTCTGCCATAATTAAGGATTGGGGGTATTACTAACAGCATTTTCTTTAATTTCTTATATATTTACAATTATGCTTATTGTAACTATTCATTACGGTTTTTATTTTAAATATTGTTATTCTAGTCCCCACCTACCAAAGACAAATGGTACATATGGGAATTAGTTGGGACTTCATAGAGACTCTGAGGTATTATGGTGGTTGTTGTAAGAATAGTAAGAATGTGATATTTTGGGGCAAGGAATGTTGTATAATTTGTTTGAGTCAGTGATTGTGGCTTATTAAGTTTAAGATGAGACAGATGAAGACTAGCCTACCCCACTCCCACTTTTGGCCTTGTGCCACATTTTTTGTATTTAATAAACCAAATATTATTATTTCGATTTTGTGATTGATATTTTCACACGGTTTGTTGCGCGGTCACATTTTGGTTTTTGATCACCACCAGCAGGGTCACCTGAGTTAAGGACTTTGATCTTAGATAAACCCGAAACTCCTAAGGATTCCAGAGCGACATCACTGGTTGCTTTCATTTTTAAACTTGTAATATCAAAAAGGAGGAAGAGAATATAATTTGATGCTTCATTTTAAAGTTTTTATATCTTTCTAGGGTTATTTTCAGAGTTACAGGACGTTGTAGCACCCTTCATCGGATTAACCCTCTAATCTCTGCGTATTATACAAAGTTTGTGTATTCAAAGATTATCCCCCTTGACCTCTAAGAAAAACTTTGAATAATCTGTTTACGTTTATGCGTGTGATATATTGGATGTGGTATATTGGATATGCGTGTGGTATGGCTGACGGCCATAACACGTTGAAAGCCCGGTTCTTGTTTGACCACTGAATTTAAGCAACGTCAAGCCTGATCAGCACCTAGATGGGTGACCGCTTGAGAATACCAGGTGCTGTAAGCTTGGAGGTGGTGTAATGGATAACGGCTCGGAGTTGGAAATTGGAGAACAGTCTGGTTCGTTATATTCACTTACGCACAAATAACCTTGGGAAAGGTACAACTCCAGCTCTTCTTCTTCCATCTGTTGTTTAATTAGTAAAACTTGTCTCAGTGCATGATTATTATTTTCAAAAGATTCTTACAGTCTCAAAATATTTTCTGGCTTTAAGTAATATACAAAATGTTGATAAACCGTAAAAAAATCAAATGTGTGAATCATCACTTTCTCCACACCTCAGCTATGGGTTAATTAGTAGTACTTGTATCAATAAAACATTATTATCTCCAAAAGCAAAAAGGAAAAAAAATATATCGTACAACCTAAACATTTTTCTGACTTTAAATAACCTGCAAAAGGTTGATAATCCGTAAAAAAAATAAGATATTGCAAAACATTCAAAGAACTGTAAGGAGGAATGTTCGTACAAGTTGAAGACGGAAATGTCCACCCGAAGAAAAACATTCACGAAAATGGAAAGACAAATCTGGAGATATGTCCACACAATGAGAAATATTTATATATACAAATAATTCTATCCAGGAAAATCCTACGAAAAGTCATGAAAAAATATCTACGGAAGAAAACAGTATATAACCTACCTAAAGAGCTTGTGTAACTGGTTGGCATAACAAAGTTTAGGACAGATAGCAAAAAGACAATATTGACTAAGAGCTACAGCGGACAGGAAATTGTGGAGATCCACGGATCACAAATCGACAGAGCACACTGAAGAAGACTTTTATTTGTATTCATCAGAATAAATTCGGCGACTGATTTGCAGATGAAGGAATGTCAAGAAATAAACAATGAACTCAGAAAAAATATTTAAAACTTTAAAAATTTAATTTTAAAATTTAATATTAAATTTAAAAACGTTTCTTCTTGTTGGATTCCGGACCTAAGGACACCATCCGAAAGGGAAGATATTAATGATTTAAAATTGAAGTATATAGACACACAACCGCTATGAAAAGATTGTGAATATTTAAGACGTTAGTAAAGAATGAATAGTGTTTTCAAGTAATTATTTTCTTAGGGATTTAATTAAATTGATCCGATCAGGTAGCGTAATGGTTATTAGTACAGAAAAGATAACATGTGTGAGTGTGTGTGTGTTTAAGTAAAAGTTGAAATGACTCATCTCCCGACTTGATGTCTCGCAGAAAAACTGACTTGTTCATCAGGGTGAGATCAATTTATTGAATTCATTGACAGATATCACATCTATTCCATTCTTTATATTTGTTTAGAGTTTTAGCTTACTCTGACAATTAATTCTGGAAATAAGGTACTTGAAATGTTATTTGTCTTACAAATACTGTTTTCTATTTCTTGCATTTTCATTAGTTCCAATATGGTTGCCTTAAAGTCTTCCATGCTTACACCGTAATTTAATAATAACACAAGCTATCTGTTGTCACGAGAAGAGGCGGAAAAAAAACTCACTTTTCTCCCTTACTTTTTCTTTTCGCAATATGTACTTTGTAGCTAGAGTTGTGTACTTGTGTAACGATTTTTCCTTTTTTTCTCAGTGTAGACTTCAGGTATTTGTCGTCTGTTGTTCTGGAACCTTGGTACGAAAAAAGTTTCCTGCGTAGAATTCGATTCTGTTCTGGCTGACAGGTAAAATTCGTGTCTTCGTTACCACTGTTATGGTTGGTGTCCAAAAAGTTTTTTTTTTCTTTTATCTTCGCATAGAACTTGTGTTTTTTCTCTCTCAATATATCCGTCGCCTCTGTTATGGACGACCGATAGCAAAAAGGTTTTATTTTATTTTTATTTTTTTATATATCCTTCGCCTAGAATTCATTTCTTCAATATCCTTGTCGCCACTGTTATGGTACAGGTTAGGACCAAGGAAGAACAACACGAACACAAGAGTAGAAATAACGAAGGTATATTACACGAAATAAGAATACAAGATGTGGAAGGTGTTAGTATGACTGTCAGTCTGGTTTGGAGTGAACTACTATCGGCTCGACTCGATTCGACCCTCTCTCTTGAGAGGCGTAGTATACATAGTGTTAGGAAGAGTTAATTCTGTAGTTATAGGTAAGGACCCATGACATATATATATATATATATATATATATATATATATATATATATATATATATATATATTGTTATATGGAAAGAAAATGAGTAACTGCCGACACCGAGGTTCGAGCGTGAAACTCTGGACTTATGAATATATGTTTTCCGCCAGGTGTATAAATAGCGGTGTCAGGCTACTGACTGCAGTGATTATTGAGTGACTACTGAGTAGAACTATCCAGTCGAATTAGTGTGAATTATTGTGTGTCGATGATTTGGGTTTGATTTAGGATTTACCGGACGTTAAGCCGAGCCGCGCTACTAAAAAGGTATTCACTGAAATGATTAATTATCTTTGGTTAACTTTTACTTCTTTGTTCTTGCTAAGTATTTATTTGCTGTTGTAATTAAATACTGTTTTATTTTAACATTGAAGTCTTGAGTTATACTTAATTATTATTTGTACGTCACAAAATATATATATATATATATATATATATATATATATATATATATATATATATATATGTGACGACGTACGAATACATATATATATATATATATGTATGAAGAAATATAGTCTTGAGGTGTGGTATATTTATGGATAAAGTGCTCAATATCAGAGATAGGCCACAATTGCGTCTAACATGAAACAGACTGTCGCCTCTAAGTGTTGACTTCAGCGTTCACTTTTTATATATATATATATATATATATATATAGGTAAATAGAGAGAGGGGGGAGAGAGAAGGAGGATAGAAAGTTAAAGTTAAAAGTAATTAGATACAAAGACAGTGAAATATTAGTTGAATAAAGTCATGCTTCCACAAAACGTACGTAATCAGTCACCGAATTTACTCTGATGAACACAAAAAAATCTACGTCCCTTGTCCCATTTTCTATCTTTTGTAGTTCTTAGTAATTATTGTCATTTTGCTATCTATCCTAACCCCTATTCTGCCAACCAACGACATATGTTCGTTAGGTCGGTTAAGCCTCTGTTTTTCTCTTGTCCTTAAAGCCTTCAGTCTGTCCTGTGAGTGTCAAGTTTTCTAAGACTTCTTTCCTCATTATGTGCCCTAGAAATTTCAACTGCCTCTTTCTGATGTTAAATATAAGTTTCCTTTTTGTTTCCATTTTATCTAAAACTTTGTTGTTGCTCACATGTTCAATCCATGGTATCTTCAGCATCCTACTTTAGAAACACATTTCTTTTCTTCATCTGTGAGGAGATTATCCAGCATCTGCTGCCGACATTTCATAACATTTCAATACTCAGTTCTTTGTTTTTAATGAAACTTTTCTGTTTCTTGATACATTGCTCGGCTTTTGGGAGGCTTCTTTCCGTCTTCTAATGTGCTTTCGAATTTTGAGGTCGCTTTTTCGGTTCTCTGTTAAAACTCCACATCTACTTATTTCGTTCTTTTTGTGTATTTGCTATGCAACGTCTTGTCCTCCAAGTTTTTTTTTGTAATTTCATTTGGCAAAGTTGTTTTGCTTTCTGTTTTACTCTTTTGGCGTAGGTTGGGTTCGGTTTAATTTTGTTGGTAGGATTTCAGGTATAATCAGCTGTTTCTTGAAGAGTGCAGTTGATGGAGTGGATTTGGTGTTTTGCTGTTTGTAGCGGGAGGGACATTGGTTTTTGTGAGGCATACTTCCAATCAGATTGTTGTAGTTTTTAGAGTTCAAGTTGGATGAGGCCTGGGCCTCTTAAAACTCTTGGTACAATACAGCCTATCAACATCTGATTTTGGGTGGTGCATCCTCATTGGGGTAAGCATTTTTTGGTCTTGTTGTCCAATCTTTTAATGTCACTCAGCTCCCATTAAATAATGTTGAAACTGTATGTTACTACGGGTATATAGGTAAAGTGTTGACAGTCTTCATTTTATTGACCCCATTAATTTCGCTCTCTATTATCAAACATACTATCCTATAATATTCTTTTCGGATCTTTTTCTTCATAATTGAATGTTGTATTCCGTCGCCTTCATTAATTCTTAAGTAATTGTATGTACCACCTTTGTATAGCTCCTTAAGATCAAGATGGTACATACAAATACTTAGGAATTAATGAATATTTGTTGTTTTTTTTCTTCTTCTTCTTCTACAATATCAACAACAACAACAACAACAATAACAACACATGCTTTGTCTGTACAGAAATTTGAATCAGCGAACCAAGTTCAAATTCCGGTCTGGTCGTCCTCGTTTACTTTCGTACTTGGAAAAAGTATAATTGATTTGTTTTTACAGCTTATCAACTCTTTGCAATGGTTATTTAAGTCCAAAACATAATTTGGATTGTAAGAATAATTCATTTTTCTTTTTGGCGAGTGAATATTGCATTAAGAATTCTTTTGAGAAGAATTATCATTTTCCGGGGATAAATCCTACTATTTAAACTATAACAAGTAGGAATATATATATATATATGGTGTTCCAATAATTTGGACCGATTTTAAATGTGAATTAACTTTAAGCGTCTAATTAGATTTTTTTCGCTTTTTCTTTCAGATTTAACAACTTATGTCTTTGGCAATTTCAACCATGGAAAGATTAACAATCAAACAATGTGTTAGTTTCAAGTGTGCAATTGGAAAAATTGTTCGTAAAATCAAACAAACTGGGTTGGTGGCAGATGTATAAACACCGTTTCGGGCTCGTTAACGCCGTTTAGCTGAAAACATTGCTGCAGTGTACGAGAATGTGGCCGAAAATCCAGACCCCTCTATTCGTCAGGAACTGAACCTCTCCACATAACGTTACATCGTTTCCAATTGCACTCTCGATTAGCCGATTATGTTGTCCAAAATATCTCATTCGGGAAACAGTGATACTTAAATTTTCATAGTATTCAAAATTACCGATTATTTATTTGTTTACTTTAATTTGCTTAGTGAATTATAAAGTGTGTTTCAAT